CGGACTGGCGACGACCGCATGGCAGGACGGGTCTTACCGGTTTATTTTTGTCGGCGGCAATGATCTTTCAATGACCGGGCAAGTCGCCGCGCAACTCAAGGCGCTTTTGTAAAACCGAGGCGTCGTGACGTTCCTGGTTGGTTCTGGCACGCTGTGGTTCAAGGTCGGAGATGGACAATACGATCCGGTCGTCACGATGTATCATGATCAGGGGCAAGTCGCGATCAAGCTGCTCGGTTTTGATCGGGGCGTTTCAGTATTGGCCGGATTGCCTCTTCGGGTCACGACGCCGGCACACGGAACTGCATTTGATATTCCGGGGAAAGCCATCACAAATGTTCTTCCCACCAAGAATGCTTTCACCATGTGTCCGAACATGGCAAGCAACCGCGGTGCTACAGATGGTGTCGCAACGAATGTTTCGGAGCTCGAAGAGCGGACAGTGTCGTAGCGCAGGTCTGCGTTCAAGTGTTCCGCTTCAGGACTCTCACGCACCGTCGGATTGGATCTCAGCCTCCAGAGACCGGAGCAGCTGTCGCAAAAGAGGCGCTGGCTATCCCCTTGGTGTTTCGTTCTGCCTCAAGCCGGGCAATCTTGCGATCGATTTCAGTGCGATCAAGCACGCCGTGAATGTTATTGCGGCTCGGCATCAACTCGGCGAAGTGCAGGTAGCGTTCCTGCGCGACGGCGTGCAATCGACGTAGCTCGGCCAGCGGGTCTCCATGATCGTCAGCACGTATATCAAGCCACGGATGGTCATCATCATGAACAATCTTCAGGGCTGCTGATTGCCGCCCGCGTTTGTCTCCCCCCGCAGTCTCGGCTGCTTCCATGGCAGTCATTAATCTTTGTTCGAGCGGCAAGGCAATGTTTGCCTGATAGGTTTCCATCGCAGCCTCAACCACTTGTGGTCCGGTGAGCATGTTTCCTGCCACGGTGACACCTTTCTCGACAAGGTGGCCGCACCAGCTGACACATTTTTCGCCGGTAAAGGCTGCCGTGCGGCCGTTGGAGTCAATCAGATGGATCTGGCGGGAATGAGCCCCCTGGTCGCGACCAACAACGGTATCGATGACCTCTTGCGCCGACTTTCCAGAACGAAGCATGATCAACCCCTCCGTTCCGTAGATCGGGCTGACGAGTGCCTGTGTGGCAATTGCCCCGACACGGCCAGCAAGGTGTGGAACAACGGCCCCTGCAGCAAAAAACCGGCTGGCGACAGCGACCCCGTAATGTCCTGTCACGTTGTCTTGGGCGACAATCGAAAATGTCATATCGCGTCCCTTTTTCTTATCGCCCGGCTGCGTAGGCCTGCATCAGGCGCGGGGTTGCGCCTGCGCGCAGGAGGCCACCAGGGTCACGTGCCGCCGCAGTCAGCCGACCAATCGTCCAGGCATCGGCAACTTCCACCGAATGACCCTGTTTCCTGAGGCTTGCAAGCGTGTCTGCGCCAAAACTCTCCTCCGCCATGATATGGCCCGGTTGTCGCTGACGCGGATGGAACGATGCTGGAAAGTGGGTGGTGTGAAACAGAGGCATGTCGAGGGCTGCCTGAAGGTTCCCTTCGTGATGCACGAGCCGCAGGAAGAGGGCCAGTTGCCACTGATCCTGCTGGTCGCCACCCGGAGTGCCGAAGGCAAGTGCTGTACCGTCCTCGTGAAACGCAATGCTTGGTGTGAGCGTCGTGCGTGGACGCTTGCCAGGGGCGAGGGATCCTGGCAGTCCATCCTGAAGCCAGTACATCTGGGCGCGGGAGTTCAGTGCAAAACCGAGACCTGGAATGATCGGGGATGACTGCAACCAGCCACCGGACGGTGTTGCGGATACGATGTTACCCCAGCGGTCAATCACGTCGATATGGACGGTGTCGCCCCGCTTCTCGGACAGATGAGCCATCGTCGGTTCGTAAACACCGGATTCGGAAATCCCGGCTCCATTGATGACTTCCAGTGTGCGCTGGACCTGGGTCTCGAAGCCTTGAATCGTGCCTGGAAGCAAATCGGCAGATGCTGTTTCGGAGATCAGGGATCGCCGTGCTGCGTTGTAGTCATCCGACAAAAGAACGTTTAGCGGAACATCACAGAAATCGGGATCGCCGTAGTAGGCTTCCCGGTCCGCAAAGGCAAGTTTCATGGCTTCGGTCACAAGGTGAACGAATTCCGGTCCGGACGGGTCGAGGGATTCAAGGTCGAAACCGCGCAAGAGGGAAAGAGACTGAAGCAGCACCGGTCCCTGGCCCCAGGGCCCCGTTTTCAAAACCGTCCAGCCTTTGTAACTGGCGCTGACCGGATCTTCGTAGGTCGCTGAATATCCGGAAAGATCATCCGTTGAAAGTACGGCCTTGTGGCGGGCTCCGGAACCGTCCATGACTTCTGCAGTCTTCAGGTAGTTGCCGATCTCCTCGGCAATGAAGCCACGATAGAAGCAATCGCGAGCCGCATCGATTTGTCGTTCGCGCACGGACTGGGTTTCAGCTTCCTGCAGTAGCCTTGACCAGGTCTCGGCGAGAACGGGGTTCTTGAAAATCGAATCCGCTTTCGGCACAGCGCCACCGGGCACCCAGGTCTGATACGACGTTGGCCACTCGGTTTCGAAGAAGTCCTTCAGTCCCGTGATTGTCGCGCTGACCCTCGGTAGCAGAGGATGTCCTTGGTTCGCGTAGTGAATTGCCGGTTCCAGCACAGTTCTCAATGGCAGAGTTCCATGGTCTCTCAGGAGCAGCATCCAGCCGTCAAAAGCACCAGGAATGACAGTCGCAAGCAGGCCATTGCCCGGAATAAGGTCCAGATTCTCTGACCTGTAGCGGCCAATCGTCGCCGCGGCCGGGGCAGGTCCCTGTGCGCATAGGACCTTGGTTTCATTCTGGCTTGCATTGTGCAGCAGGATGGGCAGATCGCCGCCAGGCCCATTCAGATGTGGCTCTACAACCTGAAGAACCAGGCCTGTGGCAACAGCGGCATCAAACGCATTGCCGCCGAGTTCCAGCATGCGCATTCCCACTGCGGTGGCAATCCAGTGTGTCGACGTGACGACACCGAAGGTGCCTTTGATCTCGGGTCTGGTGGTAAAAGCTGTCATATGGAAATCCGGGTTTGAGCGTTTCCTGATTGTTTTTATGTTTCTCGGGGATCGAGCGCGTCGCGCAGCCCGTCTCCCAGAAGGTTGAAGCCGAGGACCACCAGAAAGATTGCAATGCCTGGCCACATTGCCATCCAGGGAGCCTGGGTCATGAAATTCTTGGCGACATTCAGCATTGATCCCCAGCTGGGTGCTGGAGGTTGCTGGCCGAGTCCGAGAAACGACAGACTTGCTTCTGCAATAATTGCCGTTGCGATTGTCAGGGTCGCCTGAACGAGAATTGGCGCAAACACATTCGGCAGAATGTAGCGCACCAGTATGATCGGGGTCGGAAGACCGATCGCATGTGCACCCTCGACATAGTCTTCTGTCTTGACTGCCAGAACTTCGCCGCGGGTCAGTCGAATAAAAATCGGCATTGCCGAAAGACCGATCGCAATCATCGCATTGGTCAGGCTCGGACCCAGGAACGCGGCAAGCGCGATCGCCAGGATCAGGAACGGTGTCGCCAGAAGTGCATCTGTCGCACGCGATATGATCTGGTCAATCCAGCCGCCGAAATAGCCTGAAATCAATCCGAACGGAACACCGACCGAAACGGCGATCAAAACTGAAACCACACCGGCAAGCAGTGACGCCTGTGCGCCCCAGATCATCCTGGAGAGTATGTCGCGGCCGAGTTCGTCGGTGCCAAGCCAGTGGGCTGCGGAGGGCGCATTGCGAATGGCACCCCAGCTGGTCGCCGTAGGGTCGGCAATCGGCAACAGGGGAGCGAGAGCGGCAATGGAGATGAAAAACACGACGAGCAGAAAGCCGACAAAGGCACTCTTGTTGGCCTTGAGTTTGTTCCAGGCCCGGTTTCCAGACCGTGGCTGCTCTTCGGAACCGGCAGCAGGGATATCGACAGCGACGCTCACAATGCGGTCCTCATGCGTGGATTCAGGAAGAAATACAGGACGTCGGCGATAAGATTCATGAGGATGAAGCCAACGGCGGTGCACATGACGACACCCTGGACCACCGCGTAGTCCCGCGTGAAAACCGCGTCGACGATGAGTTTTCCGAATCCGGGAATGGTGAAAATCTGCTCGGTAAGGACTGCACCCGCGAGCAGTTCGCCAAACAAAAGGGCGCTCAGGGTCACGATGGGAAGCAGCGCGTTACGGAAGGCATGTTTCAGGACAACGACGCGTTCCCGCAGTCCTTTTGCCCTCGCCGTGCGGACATAGTCCGCGCGCAGGATTCCGAGCATTGCCGAACGCGTGTGGCGCATCAGTGTTGCAGCCAGCGCAGTGCCGAGGACAAAGGCCGGCATGATCATGGTCTCAAGGGATCGGACCGGATCGACGAAAGGAGATTCATAACCGGATGCCGGAAGCCAGCCGAGATTGACCGAAACAAGCATGATCAGCATGATGCCCAGCCAGAAGTTCGGTATCGACAGGCCGGAAAGCGCAATGATGTTCGCGGCATAGTCGACCGCGGTACCTTTCCTGACTGCGGATACAATGCCCGCGGGTATGCCGATGATCATCGCGATGAACATAGCCATTACAGCCAACTGGATTGTCACCGGCAACTTGTCTGCGATGAGTTCCAGAACAGGTTGGTTGGTCCGCAGCGAAATTCCGAAGTCTCCCTGCAACATGGCGCTGATCCAATAAAAATACTGCGTCAGGATAGGCTCATTGAGATGATACTTTTCCCGGATAAACGCCAATGTCTCCGGGTCGCGCTCTTCTCCTGCCAGAACCAGTGCCGGATCTCCCGGAAGAAGTTTCTGCAGGAAAAAGACGAACACCGAGACCAGGACAATGGTCGGAATGGCTATTGCCAGTCGTCTTGCGATGAAAGACAGCATTTTGGGGTTCCGCCGGTGACCGGGACCCGGCGAAAATGCCGGGTCCCTTGATTTTCGGGTCTTACTTGAACTTCACGTTCTCCAGACGGATCATGCCATCCGGATAGGGGGTGAAGCCTTCCAGCTTGTCCGAAAGCGCCCAGATCCAGGTGACGTGGTAGAGATAGATGAGCGGCATGTCCGCATTCAGGATGTCACGCGCCGCGTCATATTTCTCCTTGCGGATTTCCAGGTCCGTGGATGTTCTGGCTGCGTCCAGAAGGGCGTCTATTTCCGGATTGCAATATTTGCTGTCATTGATACCGCCCTCGCAGGTCACGAACTGATGGATGTTGCCATCCGGGTCTACGCGTCCCGACCATCCGATCTGGCTTGCCTGGTAATCGCCCGCTGACTGGTCCGACAGAAGGCTGGCGAATTCCATCGACTTCAGTTTGACATTGAAACCGGCTTCCGCGGCCATCGCCTGAACAACCTGCATGAGCTGTGTTTGAACCGGGTTGTTTGCGACCTGCACTTCAACATCAAGGCTGTCATGACCGGCTTCTTTCAAGAGAGCCTTTGCCTTCTCGACATCTCTGGACGGAACCGGATGGTCCTTGTCGTACCAGGGACTTGTCGGGGGGAAGGGCTGGTTGCCAGGTGCGAATGCACCTTCAAAAACGACCTGGTTGATTGCGTCGCGGTCAAGAGCGAGGCTGAATGCTTCCCGAATTCTTGCGTCCTGACCGACGGGATTGTTGGCGCGGTCACCATTGCCGACATTAACCGTAATGCCCTGATAGCCGAGGCTGACTGCCTCTTCGTATTGAAGAGAATCATCACCTTTCACTGAAGTCGCATCCGTTGCCGCGAGACGCTCGAGCATATCAAGATCGCCGGAGCGCAGATTTGCGAGGCGGACGGTCGTGTCCGGAATCGGCAGGAAGGTGACCTTGTCGAAATTGATGGCGTTCGCATTCCAATAGTCACCAAACTTCTCGAGCACGATCCTGTCTTGCGCGATCCTTTCCGCGAATTTGAATGGACCGGAGCATATGGGATTTGCACCGAAATCCACACCGGCCGCGGCGGCGGCTGTTGGCGACAGCATCATGCCAGATCGGTCGGCAAATTGTGCCAGAAGGGTCGCGTCGGGCCCTTTGAGCTTGAACTGCACCTGGTGCGGACCAGTGACTTCAACGGACTGGATGGTTTTGACTTCACTCTTGCGCCGACTTTCCGGCAGGTTCTGGGAGCGGTCGATATTGGCCTTGACTGCTTCCGCATCAAACGGCGTGCCGTCGTGAAACGTGACGTCTTCGCGCAGATCCATCGTCAGCGTCAGGCCGTCGTCTGACCATGACCAGCCGGTGGCCAGTTGAGGAACGATTTCGAGATCGGGCGTGATGTCGACCAACTTGTCGCACAAGGACGCATAAACGATACGGCCAACAAATGTCCGCGACTGATCCGGATCAAGAACGTCAGGATCTTCCTGCAGGCCGATGCGAAGGTCAGCTGCCATGGCAGGAGCGATTACCGTTGAGGCACTGAGGAGCAGTGCTGCTAGGAGAGATTTACGCATTTTTGTCTTTCCTCTGGGTGGTGGTGACAACGGGGGAGGAGGATGGGCCATTTGACATTTTTTTCCGGCTCCACTCCCGGTAAAGGGAAAATCGTTTCGCAGTGGCCACACTTCGGGGCGGCTCTTGTTTTTGTCGGGTCTGGTCTTCGGTGACCTTCCGCCAGTGATGGCAGGCCACCTGTCGCGTTCCGTCGGCGGATTCCAGCGTGGGGCGGTCAATTCCGCACCGTTCGTCAGCTTGTCTGCATCGCGTGTGGAAGCGGCATCCTGACGGAGGGTTCAGCGGCGAGGGGATATCTCCCGGAAGGTCGGCATGCATCGAACGCATGCCGGGGGCGGGCACGGGAATCGCGCGCATCAGTGCCTGGGTGTAAGGATGCCGGGGAGCACCATAGACGGTCTCCGTGTCGCCGATTTCGACGACTTCGCCGAGATACATGACCGCAACCCGATCACTCATGTGACGGATGACGGCAAGGTCGTGAGCAATCAGGATCAGCGTCAGGTTGAATTCGGACTTCAGGTCCTCAAGCAGGTTGATGACCTGTGCCTGAACGGAAACATCGAGTGCGGAGACAGGTTCGTCGGCAACGATCACGCTTGGATCGCTTGCCAGAGCGCGGGCGATGCCGATTCGCTGCCGCTGACCGCCCGAAAACTCGTGCGGGTATCGGTCCGCCATGCTGGAACGAAGGCCGACCCTTTGCAGCAGGCCGGCAACCTTCTGCCGCCGTGTGGTCTTGTTGTCCTGCGTGTGGACAGTCAGCGGTTCTTCAACGATTGCACCTACTGTCATTCTCGGATTGAGCGACGAAAACGGATCCTGAAAGACAAATTGCAATTCCTTGCGCAGGCGGCGCATGTCGCGTGCTGGAAGATGCGCAATGTCATTCCCTTCGTATAGAACCTGACCTTTCGTCGGTTCAAGGAGACGGACAAGAGTTCGGGCAAGCGTGGATTTTCCGCATCCGCTTTCGCCAACGATTGCAAGCGTTTCACCGCGTCTGACAGCCAGGTCTACGCCATCGACGGCTCTGACAAATGTTCTTTGCTGGAACAGGCCGCCGCCTCGCGTGAACGTGCGTCCGAGCCCGCGCGCTTCCAAAATGGTGTCCTGAGCAAAGTGCTTCATAACACTTCCGCCAAATGGTTTTCGAGCGGTGCGAGGTGACAGGCCGCCAGGTGCCTGTCCGACACTGCCGACAGTGCAGGAGCTTGCGCCTCACAGGTTACTGTCGTGAACGGGCAGCGAGGTGCGAAGCGGCAACCGGAGGGCATCCTGTCTATTGTCGGAACCATCCCGGCGATTGTTGTCAGGCGGCTTTGCCGCTCGCCAAGGGAGGGAAGGGAGCTCATCAGGCCGATGGTGTAGGGATGCTGCGGGTCATCAAAAATGGCCTGAACCGGTCCTTGCTCAACAATTTTCCCGGCATACATCACCGCCACCTGGTCGGCGATTTCAGCAACAACGCCAAGATCATGCGTGATCATGATCAGGGCGGTTCCGGTTTCCTGCTGAAGCGTTCTCATTAGATCAAGAATCTGCGCCTGGATGGTCACGTCGAGCGCGGTTGTCGGTTCGTCGGCGATCAGCAGGTCAGGGTCATTGGCAAGTGCCATGGCGATCATCACCCGCTGCCGCATTCCGCCTGAAAGCTGATGCGGATAGTCGTCGAGCCTTTCAGATGCGGCAGGTATTTTCACCCGTTCCAGCATTTCCAGCGCTCGGCGGCGCGCATCTGCCGGACTGACCGCCCTGTGACGGAGCACGCCTTCGGCGATCTGGTCTCCGATACGAAAGGAAGGGTTCAGCGACGTCATGGGCTCCTGGAAAATCATCGCCATGCGATCACCACGCAAATCCGCGCGGGTTTTTGCAGGCAAGGACAGCAAGTCCTTCTGATCGAACGAGATGCGCCCGCTTGCGATCTCCGCCGGGGGCATCGGCAAGAGACCCATCAGTGCGAGCGCGGAGATGGATTTGCCACATCCGCTCTCTCCAACGATGCACAGTGTCTCACCGCGGTCGACACCAAATGAAATGCCGTCAACCGTGTTTGCTGTCGCGTTCTTGAACCGGATTGCAAGATTTTCGACCGTCAGCAGGCGCGATCCGGCGGTGACATCCGATTGCATTTCAAGGCTCTCAACCATTGTCGGCAGTTTCCGATGTCTGAAAAAGCAGCCGTTCCTGGAGAGTCAGGAGATGCTGACGCATCAGGCGTTCGGCAGAGACAGGATCGTGACGTTCGATGGCGTCCACAATGTCGGTATGCTGTGCCTTGTATTGCGTGACCGTTTCGCGGGTCCGCAAGGCTTCGCGCACATGACGCCAGCTTTCGTTCTGCCGCATGCGGTCGACGACGTCGAAGAGTGCCAGGAACAGGGCGTTGCCGGCGGCCTTTGCAATTGCGCGGTGGAGGGCACCGTCCCACAGTTCTCGGCCGTCCATGTCGTGCGCTTCACCGACCTTGTCCGCGATATGACGCATCTGGACAATGTCCTGCGAGGTTGCGCGGATAGCGGCCAGTTGCGCCAGGGCTGGTTCCAGGCGAAGGCGCACTTCCATGACTTCGAGCATATTGCTCATTTCCGGCAGTTTACTGAGTTGATGATCACCGTCGCTCGGTTTGGAGCCGATAAACGTGCCGGCACCCTGCCGTCGCCAGATGAACCCTTCGGTTTCAAGCACTTCCAGCGCCCGTCGAACGGCCCGGCGTCCGACACCAATTTGCTCGGAAAGGTCCCGCTCCGTCGGCAACTGGCGCACGCCGTCCAATGCCAGTTGATCGACGAGAATACGCAGACGTTCCAGTGCCAGGCTGGAGTTGCGCTGCGTTGGACGATCTTCTGTCATGGCGGAATCTTTTATGGAACCAATTTGAATTGGTTACATCATTTGTTCCTTTTCAGATTTTTGCAACTCCTTGGAATGCAAAAAGTGGAGAGGCGTCGGAAAAATTCCGGTTTTGTAAACTTAAGTTACTGTAAGATAATATATTTTTAATTATCAAAAACGTTCCTGCAAGCCGGTTTGCCGCAGCTCAAAAATATGACACTTTACCTTCCAAGGGTTCGCATTGAGAAAATTGGTCTCTAAACCAGGCATATATTTGTCCTGAGAACGTGCATGGTCACCCAACGACCGGTCGGTTTACGAATTTACTCAGGGGGGCGGACTTTTCTTTTGAATTTTGAGGCGGTTGGTGGCCAGGGATTTGGTTGACGGGTGAAGATTGTGTTTGAAATGTTATAAAATTACGTCTAGGCATTGCTGTGCCAGTTATTCATGTTTTCAAGTGTTCTGGAGACCGCCTTGCCAAACAAGAAAATCAAATCTGTCTTCACCGTTTCGTTGAGCCTTGTTGCTCTGGCGGCGATGGCGTTTGTCATTCCCGTTAACCGTGCGCAAGCCGCTGATAAAACAATGCGTATTGCTGTACCATTCGGACCCAAGTCAAGCGTACCTGATCCCCGAGCAAGGCAAAATGGGTGGCTCAGCAACCGTGCCGGCGTCTCCGAAACGTTGATCAGCCTTGGTTATGACATGGCATTGCAGCCTCGGCTTGCCGAGAGCTTTTCAAATGTGTCTCCGACCGAGTGGAAGCTGACACTTCGACCTAATGTCAAATTTCACGACGGCTCGATAATGACGGCTGAGGATGTGAGGGCCTCGTTCGAAAAGCTGGATCAAGATGGCCATCCGGCACACAATCCGCGCCTGTCGAAATTGCTTGGACTGGACGCTATCACAGTTGAGGACCCTCACACGCTGGTGTTCAAGACAAAAACCCCAAATTCCGCATTTCTATGGTCGTTGACCGAACCATCGGCCGCAGTCATGAGAGAGGGCACTGACGACCTGCCGCTTATTGGCACCGGTCCATTTGTTTTTGTCACTGCCGAAACCGACAAGACCTATCGGACACGAAAGTTTGCAGACTATTGGGGTGGGGATCCAAAGCTTGACGCCATCGTCATGGACGCACTTTCAGACTCATCCGTTGCAGCTCTCGCATTGCAAGCCGGAGACGTCGATCTGGTTACCAACTATCCCGAGCCGGATTTTGCGGAATTGAAAAACAAGGGCGAAGGACAACTGTTTTCCAACCCAACCACGAGGCTTTTCTTTTTTCAGGTCCGGACCGCCGATGGGCCGCTTGCCAATGGATCGTTGCGCACGGCGATATCCCTTGGTCTGGATCGGGATACCATTGTTGCCGCGTCCTTGAATGGGGTGGGGGGAGAAGTCGCCAACGGCATTTTCCCGACCTCAATGGAATCCTGGGTAAATTCCGGTCTGTCCCTGAAGTACGATCCCGAACAAGCCAAAGCGGTATTGGATCAGGCCGGCATCAAGGATACCAATGGCGATGGCAATCGTGAGCTTGAAGGTGTCGAGGTTTTACTCAAGATTCGCTCATATGAAGGTCGTGCGGCCCTGCGGCCCACGCTGGAAATCACCCAGGCGATGTTGCAGCAGATCGGTATCAGGTCGGAGATTTCCATGGCCGAATATGATGCCAATAACGAGGCGTTGAAAGCCGGCGAAATCCAGATGCACCTTCAGGCTTGGGGCACGGCACCACTCGGTGACCCAAACTATTTCCCGAGCACACTTGTTGAATCGGGCGTCGGGTATAACTTTTCCGGTTACTCAAATCCTGAACTTGACGATCTTCTGGTGAAGGGCCGTGAAAGTTTCGACGATGAAGTGCGCAAGGATTACTATGATCGCATCCAGGAAATCATAAACACGGATCTGCCGCTGATTCCGGTTTTTCACAAAACTCAGGTTTCTGTCGGAAATGGCAAAGTGGACGGCTACCGGATCCATCCGGCTGAAACCTATCTTGTAACACCGGACCTGACGCTTGCGGACTGACAACAAAGCGCTGCTGAAAGTAGAAAACCTGTCGGCGCGTATCGACCGGCAGGTGGTGCTCGACAATCTGAGTTTTGAAGTCGACCAGGGTGAATGCGTCGCGGTTGTTGGTGGCTCAGGAGCGGGTAAATCAACTCTCCTGAGATGCCTGATGGGTCTGACGCGCCCGGTGAGCCCCTATCGCGGTTCCATGAGGTTCGGCGGTACGGAACGTTGTTTTACATCGAAAAAGCAGCACGCCAGGCCAGAAGGTATTGCTTTTGTCCCGCAAAATCCGGACCACGGATTTGATCCCCTCAAGCGTCTGAACTGGCAATGGCGCCAGGCTGCGCGAATCGTCACCGGAAGTTCCGCGTTCAACGCTTCGCAACAGACCCTGATGGATAGCCTTGGCCTTCGTTCCTTTGGTAGCAGCTTTCCTCACCAGTGGAGCAGAGGCATGCAACAACGGCTATTGTTGGGAATTGCACTGCTTGGTAAACCGCGGTTGCTGATCCTTGATGAGCCCACATCCGCGCTTGACTCGTTGATTGCAGCCCAGGTCTTGCGCACGGTGATGACTTACGCTCAAGAGCAAGATATTGCACTGCTGATCGTAACGCATGACCTGGCTCTTGCAGCGCGCCATGCGACGCGAACCGCGATTATGACAGCCGGGCAAATCGTGGAATTTGGCGAAACTTCAAAACTGCTGGACGAGCCGAACACGGCTTATGGGAAATTGCTTGTGAGTCATCGCAACTGGGAGGTTGCCGTGAGTCATGGAGATACCGTTTCCGCGGCTGCGGAATGACCTGATATCATGTTGCGTGTTGAAAATCTTGTTGTCCGCATTCACGGCGAGACAATATTGGACGCGATTTCCTTCTGTGTGCAACAGGGACAAACTCTTTGCATCGCCGGTGAGAGCGGTTCGGGGAAAAGCAGCTTGTTGCGTGCTCTGAACGGACTTTTGCCGGCGGAATTTGGAAGCCTGGCATTTCACCCCACAATTGGCGAGCCGACCGAACTTGAAGGACGATGGCGCGGTGTTCGCGGTTTGCCAGGTAGCCGGTGGGTCATGCAGGATCCGATTGCCGCTTTAAATCCGAAGTTGCCGCTTGGAGTTTCCATCGGAGAGAGTGTCTTTTCAAAGAATCTTTCTGCGACAGAGTTGAATGATGCGGTTTCAGACGCACTTTCCGAGTTCGAACTTCTTCCAGAGCTTGCAGTCCGTCGCCCTTCTGAAGTCTCCATGGGGCAGGCGCAACGTGCCTGTCTTGCCCGTGCGCTGGTTGCCCGGCCAGACCTCATTTTTTTCGACGAGCCGCTCAGTGCACTCGATGCAATCGTTCAAAAGCAGGTGGCGGCCACGATGCGGCGTATTCAAATGCGTTATGGAACAACATTTGTCATCGTGACCCACGATCTCGGATTTGCGGCGACTTATGCCGATCATGTGCTTGTCTTGCGAAATGGCAAGATAGAGGCCAACCAAAGCGCCGGAAATTTCTTCAGGTCCCCGGAAAGCCGATATTGCGAAGAATTGATTCTGGCTGCCAGGGAGCTGGGTGGACTACCAGAGATCGTTCCAGCAAAACAAGGATCCGGGGAAGCTCGATCATGTTGACATCGAGCCTCCGTGTTGCACCTTTCCTTTTTGCACTCTTCCGCCGACTTCTGAGCCTTTTCTGCGTCCTGTTCGGCGTTAGTCTCATTACGTTCGCAATGACTTACTTTGCACCGGGTGACAAAGCCGCAGCAATTGCCCATGCCCGCTACCCGGATGTGCAGGCTTTTCCGCCAGAAATTCTGGAAGGAATTCGGGAGGAATTCTCGTTGAACGAGCCGTTTTTCGTTCAGTTCTTCCGTTGGTTGTTCCGTTTCGTCCAGGGTGACTTCGGCAATTCCTTCGCCTCCAACACGCCGGTTTAGGACATATTTGTCGGTAATGTCACCGAGACGCTCTCGCTCACGACGACTGCGCTGCTTACTGGGCTGCTTGCCGCATTCGCACTCAGTTCAGTTGCTGTCTGGAGACCGGGCAGCCATTTCGACCGGGCCGCGGTCGCCCTGGCGTCAATTGGTGCGGCCATGCCGAATTATTGGCTCGGTCTGCTTCTGATCCTTTTGTTCGCAGCTCATTTGAACTGGCTTCCAGCCTATGGCACGGGTTCACCCCAGCATCTGGTGCTGCCTGCGATCACACTGGCGTTCTGGATCACCGCATCGCAGACCAGGCTCTTGCGTGCATTCTTTCTGGAAGCAAAGTCGGCGCCTTTTGTGGAAACATTGAGATTGCGCGGTGTGAGCGAAAGTGAAATTTTCTGGCGCCATATCCTTCGTCATGCGGCCATTCCCGCGCTCACCATGATTGGTCTGGACATTGCCAGCCTCCTTGAAGGGACCGTCATCGTCGAGTTGACTTTCGCACGTGGAGGTATCGGTTCGCTCCTGGCCGGATCCGTGCTCTCCCGGGACTATCCCATGATCCTTTTTCTGGTGATGTTCTCTGCGCTTGTCTACGTCTTCATCAATTCCCTGATTGAACTGCTACAGGATGCGCTGGATCCAAGGATTACGTTTCTCAAGCCACCAAAACACGATCGATCATATGAGGCCCGGTCATGACATTCCAAATCCAGGCCGGGTTTTCCGAAGAAACCGATCTGCAAAAAACCAAACACGGCAAGGACCTGAACCGGTTCGTGTTCCGGCTTGGGGTGATGGTTCTTTGCGTGCTGGCAGTCGCGACCACCGGCTTCCTGTTGTCGCCCTATGCTCCAAATTCGCCCGATTTTCTGAATCGACTTTCTCCGCCCTCGCAGGCGCATTGGCTTGGCACCGACCAGCTTGGCCGCGATATTGCGACAAGATTGCTTTACGGAGGTATTTGGTCCCTAGGGCTGGCATTTTTGATTACGTTTGTTGGCGCCGTCATGGGGACAATGATCGGCCTTGTGGCGGGCCATTTCGGACGGGCGGCCGACGTTGTGCTGATGCGTATGACGGACAGCTTTTTTGCTTTTCCGGAATTGATCGCTGCGGTGACCATCGCAGGAGTTTTGGGTCCGAGCACGGCCAATATGGTGTTCGCCCTCATTCTGGTCGGCTGGATGAAATTTGCACGGCTTGTTCGAAGCCTCAGCATTGACCTGGTGCATCGTGATTTCGTGGTGCAGGCTCGCCTGAATGGTTTGCCATCCACGCTCATCCTGTGGCGTCACATACTACCGAATATCGGGCCCAGCCTGTTGGTTCTATGGACCAACGCCTGGTCCAGAAGCATTCTTTCCATATCCGGCTTGAGTTTTCTGGGGTTCGGAGTGCAGCCCCCGAATGCGGAATGGGGTGCCATGCTGCTCGATGGAAAGGCCTATATGCAAACGGCTCCTTATCTCATGATTTTCCCAGGCGCGGCCATTCTTTTGTGCGTTCTTGCCATCAATCTGGCGGGCGATCGGTTGCGCGACCTTCTGGGCGGACATTCGGTCGGGTCGGGCAAATAACGATCATGGATCTCAAGGGAATCAGTCTACGGATCGGCGCAACGGCATTCTTTACGCTGATGGTCCTTTTCATCAAATGGCTGTCCGACACGGTCCCTGTTGGACAAGTAGTCTTTTTCAGAAGCGCCTTTGCTCTGATTCCGCTGGTTTTGTTCCTGGTTTGGACACGAGATTTTCCTTCCGGCCTCAAAACGAACCGGCCTGGAAGTCATGTGATCCGTTGCGTCCTGGGCTGCCTTGCCATGTTTGCAAGTTTTGCCAGCCTGAAGTACCTGCCGTTGTCTCATGCTTCCATCATCGGCTATCTGGCACCGGTTCTGGCTGTTGTTCTGGCGGCAATCCTGCTTGGCGAAACCGTCAACGGCGCCCGCTGGTTTGGTGTCCTCTTCGGATTTGCCAGCGTGCTCGTTCTGGTGCTTCCAACGATCGCCGAGGCAAATGTTGACACATCATATTTTCTTGGTGTCGGTCTGGCGTTGGCAATGGCAATTCTGACCGCAAGTGCAAAGGTTCAAATCCGAAGTCTGGCGCTGACGGAAAATGCCGGTGCCATTGCGTTTTACTTTGCACTCACGTGCACAGTTGCTGGCCTTGCCACACTGCCGTTCGGCTGGACGCTGCCCGACTGGAATCAGCTTGGCCTGTTGGTATGCACGGGAATTGCCGGCGGTATTGCGCACATCCTGATGACGCTGAGCTACCAGTATAGCGAGGTCTCCAGGTTGGCCGCCTTTGAATACCTGTCTCTCGTTTTTGCTGTAATCGCAGATGTGCTGTTTTTCGACATTCTGCCAAAGCCAGCGTTTTATGCCGCTGCGGCCTGCATCGTCCTGGCAACACTGGTTGTAGCGCTCAAAGACGGGCATCACAAAGGCCAAACGGCTTTTCGCTAAAGGTTCCGGCGGAACACGGCAGTACTGCTGGCAGCGAGGCATGCTCTCCAGCTGACCTCGTGTTGATCGCCAGGTTCGGCTGGTGGCGCATCGAACTCGACTTTCTGCAGGACAAACGGACTGGATTGTCTGCATAACAAGTGTTTGAGACACCGAAAACTTGATTTCCGAAAACTCAGAGCTGACATCTGAACGACCTACGATCGATCGCACGCTGCGATCTCACGCCGGTCATTCATGTATGCGGTATTTTGCGATCAACTGTTCGTCGTCGAATTTCCATCAACAATATCGTTCAGGTCCGATCCATTGCTCTGCCGAATAACGGTCCCCGTGGGCCCAGCCAACGGGCAGTACAGCCTCGATACGGTCCAGATCCGTTTTCGTGAGGTTCAGCGCTGCCCCCGCGATGCATTCGTGCAAGTGTTCTACAGACCGGGTGCCGGGAATCGGGATCACATGAGGTCCGCGCGACAGCAACCAGGCATTCGCCAGTCCCGCCGCCGAAGTTCCCATCTCTGCCGCGAGTTTTCGGAAGCCTTCTGAAATGCGCAGGTTTTCAGACAGGTTCGGCTCGGTGAAGCGCGGGTTGCCGGCGAGGAACGGCAGGTCCCTTATCCGGTCGCGCGAGATCGGGTTGTCCGTCAGCAGCGAGCGACCGACTGGCGAGAAAGCAACCATGGCGACGCCAAGTTCCGCGCAGGTTTGAACCAGTCCAAGATCGGGAAATCGCGTGGCGAGTGAATATTCCGATTGAACGGCGGCGACTGGAAAGGCGTTCATCGCCCGGCGCAAGGTCGAGGGCGCAATTTCGGACAGCCCGATCGCGCGAGCCTTGCCCTTTTCAACCAGACGACCAAGATTTGCCGCCGTTTCTTCCGGTGTAAAGCGTGGGTCACGGCGATGCGCGTAAAACAGGTCCACACAGTCCAGACCGAGCCGTTGCAACGACTTGTCCAGTTCGGACTCAAGATGCTCTGCTGAATTGTCATAAAAGCGATTGCCGTCCGGGTCGCGGGTTATGGTGGCCTTTGTTGCGATCACAAACTCTTCACGCGCACCCGGATTGGCCTTCAGATACGTTCCGATAGCGTTTTCCGATTTTCCCATGCCATAGACATTGGCTGTATCCAGGTGCGTGACACCCTGATCACGGCAGGTATCGAGAATTGCGTGGCTCTCTGCCTCGTTCGTGGGACCATACATGTCGGAAAAGGACATTCCACCGTAACCGATCGATCCGACTTCCGGCCCGTTTTTCCCTAATTTACGTTTTTCCATTTTTTGCCCTCTACCCATTGGGGAACCTGAAGAATTCTGTCTTGGCATGCCATTTCAGGCGCACAAATGCCGAATTGAGGAACACTGGTGGCGACACGTCATCGGCCAGAGCCTCTCAAGTGGCAATTCAAACTTCGTCACATCGGCTTCAAGCAGCTGCTTTCGGCGAAACTCTACCGTTCATATCTGAAAACGAAAACCCGCCCGATCGTTTCCGATGGGCGGGTCTTGTCTGGGCGCCGGGAGCCGCGCTATGGCCGGTGGTTGCCGGCCTTGGCGCACTCCCGACTGAACCGTCAGCTGCAGCCGCTTGTCGAGCCGCAGGTGTCGCACTTCAGGCAGGTACCATTGCGGACCATGGTGAAGTTGCCGCATTCGGCGCAACTTTCGCCCTCGTAGCCCTTCATGCGCGCCTGGGCGATCTGCTGGGCCGCTGAAGAGACCTGCGGAGCAGGGGTCGTGCTGATTTCAACAGCTGCGACGCCTTCAGAGCCCCGTGCAAAGGCCGTTGCAACAGCGGAGACCTGTGCGGCGGGCGTATTGGCGGTCTGGACCGAGATGGCCTCGGTGGTTTCGCCTGCAGGTTCACCCACGCTGGACACCAGCCGGAAGCGTTCGGTTTGTCCGCGGACAAGACCGTGCGAGACAATCTGGCCGCTTTGACCGCGATCGTCGCCGGAAGACGCGTTGTCTCCAGAGGTGCCGAAAATCTCCGGCGGGACATGGGCGAGGTCGTGACGCCCAAGGTAGGACACTGCAAGTTCCCGGAACACGTAGTCGAGGATCGACGTTGCGTTCTTGATCGCATCATTGCCCTGAACCATGCCAGCCGGTTCGAACTTGGTGAAGGTGAACGCATCGACATACTCTTCCAGCGGCACACCGTATTGCAGGCCGAGCGAGACGGAGATGGCGAAGTTGTTGATGAAGGCACGCAGTGCCGAGCCTTCCTTGTTCATGTCGAGGAAGATCTCGCCGAGGCGACCGTCATGGTATTCGCCCGTGCGCAGGAACACGGTATGGCCGCCGATCTTGGCCTTCTGGGTGTAGCCCTTGCGGCGCGCCGGCAGTTTTTCCTGTTCGCGGACAACACGTTCAACGATCCGTTCGACGATGCGTTCTGCCACGACTTCAGCCTTCGCCGCCAGCGGCTTGGCTGCAAGTTCTTCAGCAACCTCATCCTGATCTTCGTCGTCGTCGGACAGGAGCTGGGAATTGAGAGGCTGGGACAGTTTGGAGCCGTCACGATAAAGCGCGTTTGCCTTGAGGGCCAGCTTCCAGGAGAGCATGTAGGCTTCCTTGCAGTCCTCAACCGTTGCATCGTTCGGCATGTTGATCGTCTTGGAGATCGCGCCGGAAATGAAAGGCTGAGCCGCTGCCATCATGCGAATGTGGCTTTCGACCGACAGGAAGCGCTTGCCGATACGGCCGCACGGATTGGCACAATCGAAGATCGGGTAGTGCTCTTCCTTGAGGAAGGGGGCACCTTCCAGGGTCATTGCGCCGCAAACATGCGTGTTGGCCGCTTCGATCTCGCTCTTTGAATAGCCGAGGAAGGACAGAAGATCGAATTCCTGGTCTTCCAGCTGCTCGTCGGAGACGCCAAGTGCCTTCATCTGTTCGTCGCCGAGGGTCCAGCGGTTGAAAACGAACTTGATGTCGAAGGCCGACTTCATGCCGTCTTTCAATTTGCCGAGACTTTCCTCGGAAAACCCTTTGGTCGTAAGGCTCGCCGGATTGATTCCGGGGGCCTGGTCAATGGTTCCGTGACCGACCGCATAGGCTTCAATTTCGCCGATTTCGCTTTCTGAATATCCAAGTGCGCGAAGGGCCTCGGGAACAGCACGGTTGATGATCTTGAAATATCCGCCGCCGGCCAGTTTCTTGAACTTGACCAGAGCAAAGTCCGGCTCAATGCCCGTGGTGTCGCAGTCCATGACAAGCCCGATCGTGCCTGTTGGCGCAATCACGGTTGACTGGGCGTTGCGGAAGCCGTTCTTTTCGCCGAGTTCAAGAGCCCGGTCCCAGGCCTTCCTGGCCCGCTCCACCATCACCTGGTCCGGGCAGGACGCATGATCGAGAGCAACGGGATTCGTGTTGAGACCTTCGTATCCACTTTCTTCGCCATGAGCGGCGCGGCGGTGGTTGCGAATGACCCTGAGCATGTGCTTGGCGTTTTTCTTGTAGCCGGGGAAAGACCCCAGTTCGCCGGCCATCTCTGCGGACGTCGCGTAGGCAACACCGGTCATGACGGCGGTCAGTGCTCCGCAAATCGCGCGGCCTTCGGCCGAGTCGTAAGGAATACCGGAAGTCATCAGCAAGCCGCCGATATTGGCATAGCCGAGACCCAGCGTGCGGAACTTGTAGGACAGCTCCGCGATTTCCTTGGAAGGGAACTGCGCCATCAGGACCGAGATTTCGAGCACGACCGTCCACAGACGTACCGCGTGCTCGTAGCTGTCGATGTCGAAAGAGCGATCTTCCTTGCGAAACTGCATCAGGTTCAAGGAGGCAAGATTGCAGGCCGTGTCATCAAGGAACATGTATTCCGAGCACGGGTTCGACGCACGGATCTCGCCATCAGCAAGGCAGGTATGCCAGTCGTTGATGGTCGTGTGGTACTGCAGGCCAGGATCGGCTGAGGCCCAGGCCGCGTAGCCGATCTGCTCCCAGAGTTCCTTTGCCTTCACGGTTTTCAGGGTTTTACCCGTGCGGCGCGCAGTCAGGTCCCATTCGCTGTCCTGGATGACGGCAGAGAGAAAACCGTCGGTCACACGTACGGAGTTGTTGGAATTCTGTCCGGCGACCGTCAGATAGGCTTCGGAATCCCAGTCCGTGTTGTAGGTCGGGAATTCGATCTTGGTAAAGCCCTGTCTGGCGAACTGAATGACGCGCTGGATATAGTTTTCCGGCACCATCATTTTTTTCGCGGCACGGATTTCACGCTTCAGGGCCGGGTTCTTGGCCGGATCAAAGCAGTCACCGTTATCCGCCTCGCAATTCACGCAGGCACGCATGATGGCAGACAGGTGCTTCTGGCAGATCCTGGAACCGGTGACGAGCGCCGCCACTTTCTGCTCTTCCTTGACCTTCCAGTTGACGTATTCCTCGATATCGGGGTGATCGACATCCACGACGACCATCTTTGCCGCCCGGCGTGTCGTCCCACCGGACTTGATTGCGCCTGCTGCACGGTCGCCGATCTTCAGGAAGCTCATCAGACCCGAAGACTTGCCGCCACCGGAGAGCCTTTCGCCTTCGGAGCGGACATGGGAGAAGTTTGAGCCGGTGCCGGAACCGTATTTGAAGAGGCGCGCTTCGCGGACCCAAAGGTCCATGATACCGCCTTCATTTACGAGATCATCCTGCACGGACTGGATAAAGCAGGCATGCGGCTGAGGATGCTCGTAGGCGGTTTTCGACTTGGTCAGCTTGCCGGTCTGGAAGTCGACATAAAAGTGCCCCTGGCTCGGACCGTCGATGCCATATGCCCAGTGCAGGCCGGTATTGAACCATTGCGGTGAATTCGGTGCCACCTTTTGAGTCGCCAGCATGTAGCGCAATTCGTCATAAAACGCCTGCGCATCTGCTTCCTGGTCGAAATAGCCGCCCTTCCAGCCCCAATAGGTCCAGGTGCCGGCGAGGCGATCAAAAACCTGACGGCCATCGATTTCTGAGCCGTAACGCTGATCTTCCGGCAGGTCGTCCATTGCGCTGTCATCAGCTTCACGGCGCCACAGCCAGGACGGGACGGTGTTTTCTTCGACCGGTTTCAGTCTGGCAGGCACACCTGCCTTGCGGAAATATTTCTGGGCCAGAATGTCCGAGGCAACCTGGGAGAACTGGGCTGGAACCTGGATGTCCTCCAGACGGAAAACGATCGATCCGTCCGGATTGCGAATCTCGCTCGTCGCAGTCCGAAATTCAATGCCGGCGTAGGGCGATTGCCCTTCCTTGGTATAGCGCCGCTCAATCCGCATTCTCTAAGTCCCCTTGTGTCCCCGACCGGTTCGGCCCGAACCGGTGAATTCCGCTTCTCACCCGGAAAGACGATGTCGTCAGTCCCATCGCCGGGCGTCACCCTTTCGCCTACAGGCGCCGTCTGTATGTAGCGTTTCTTTCGTCGTGATGCACTATATATAGTGTTCATCAACAGGTTTGTCACGATGTGCGCCTTGTATTCGGCGCGCAGAAACTCCTCTCCCGGTTTACCTGTAAAACGCGGAAGCTGTACGCTGATACTTTAGTGGTTTGGATGACCGGAGCGCCCGGAAAGGCTCCCGACTACGCACATCGCAATGATAGGAAAGGTAATGTAAATGAATTCTTAAGGTCAAGGCGTGAGTGACAACAGCTTGTGCCAACATTGTGGGCAAACGCAAAATATTGTGTGCCTGTGTGGATTGCGGGGAGTGGAGTGGGGACAGCAGGAACGCTTGATAATTTGCGCTTGCATTCCCATTGCAGAAGTGCCGGACCCATGCCCGAACTTCGCTGTGGATGACGATCATCCCGCTTTTATGAAAATTTGACGAAAATGGAGGTCGGTGGTTTCAACCCGGTTTAAGCCAGGTCTGATTAAGTGCGGAAACGAGAGGGAAAGGGATCCGCATTACATGAAGCATCACGCCGCCTTTGGCCTTGCGATGGAAGATATCGACGCGGTCGTCGTGGAAGACAGCAAGCCAATGCAGACGATCATCCGATCGATTCTTCTCAGCTTCAAGGTAGCGCGGGTGCGGGTGTTTGATTCGGTCGAAGAGGCTCTTGAAGCGAGCCTTGCTGAGCCACCGAACGTGATTCTGACCGATTGGCGGATGGAACCGACATCCGGATACCAGTTTTTGCGACTCGTCCGGCACCGTCACATGGAACCCCTTTGCTATGTGCCGATTCTCTTCATCACGGCACACGGTACACGACCCCTGGTCGACAAGGCCCTGCGTGCAGGCGCACACCATGTACTCGTCAAGCCGCTTTCGCCGTCAACCTTGTACAAGCGACTCAGATGGCTGTTGACTGACGACCGGCCGATGATCCTTGAGCATTCCGGCTTCTACAACATCAATGGCATCCAGAAATCCATGGATGAGCAGGCGGAAAAAATGCAAACGCTGGCCGGTGCACGCATTCAACACAAGAAAGCGATACAAAAACGCGCTGAGGTTGAGGAGGTTGTCGAAGAGGAATTTGACAGGCAAGAGAAAAAGGAGCCCGTGTTTGCGGGGGTGAAGAAAGGTGGCGTGAAGAAGCAGCAGTCCGCCGCTGCCAAGCACATCCGCAATGCGGAATATGTAAAATCCAAAGACCTGAAGCTGCACTGACCAGCAGGGCATATCCCGGAAAATCCAATCCGGCAGCCTCGTTTGCAGATCGTCGTGCGGATTAGGTCGATTTCTCCGACCCTGCGGCAGCCCGGCACTGGACAGACGCCACTCTTGACGCCATAGTCCGCCAAAATCCGGCCGTGGGCATTGCCCGTCCGGGCTCAAGTCATATGCTATCAAGGGACCTTTCAAGGGCCATGAAAAATCTGCTGCTTGAAGTCTTTACCTGGTGGAACAGCCAGACCATGGGAACCCGCTTCTTCACCTGGCGTAAAGGTGAATTTGTCGGCGAGGATGCAGCCGGCAACAAGTATTACAAGGAACGTGGCGGCAAGAAACGATGGGTGGTCTACAACGGCCTCGCAGAAGCCTCGGCAATTCCTCCGGGTTGGCATGGCTGGATGCACCACAGGGTCGATACCCCTCCTTCAGACGAGACCTACCATCCGAAACACTGGCAGAAGCCGCATGAGGTCAACCACACCGGATCACCGGCGGCCTACCGCCCACACGGTTCGATTCTGACACCGGAAAAACGTCCCGAAGTGACTGGTGACTACGATGCGTGGACACCGGGCGGCTGAGTGACCGATATTGCAAGTACAAGCGAGCCCCGCTTTCGCGGGGCTTTTTTGTGTGATCGCGTACAGCATCAAAGACTGGTCGATTTTCAAGCCGACTTGCTTCTGGCTTTGGCCTTTGCCGGTGTTTCGTGAGCACCGAACAGGGTGCTTGCCGACGAGATGATCCGGTTCAGGATCAGGATGACCAGCGAGGTGCTGTAACCCAGCACGAAGGGCATGATCAGCAGCATGGACTGATTTGTGAACGCAACTTCCGACTTTGTCGGAACGGTTGTCTTGTTGAGAGCCGCGGCGCTGAGGCTTTTTACAAACGCTAGAAACTCGTGAAAACCAAATGGAAGCGTGAAAAAAAGTGCAAACAGGGCACCAAGCACAATCCTTTGCACAATGAGACGGGAGTCGGAGATATCGAACGTGATATCACTGGTCACAGCGATTGCGTTGAATCCTATGAATGCCGCAGAACCAATTGCCCCCAGAGACATGAGCCAGAGCAGAAAAAACAGGACCATGAGCGCGCCGTCGAGGCCTTTGCTGAGGAGCGTGACTTCCGCCATGAAAACCGACAGGATCATTGATCCGATCGAAACAACAACCAGCCAGACCGCAAGCCTTGGCAGAAAGTTCGGCATCTGGGACGCCAGGTAACTCTTCCTGTCGGCGTCGCTCAAGTGTGCAAACAGGACCTGTGTTTTCTCCTCGAGTGCTTCCCATTCGCCTTGATCGGGCGCACGGCCCTTTTGACCGGGGCCAGCAGCCTTGAGACGGTTCAGCCGTCCGAGCTTGAAATTTTCCGGAAGGGATGTTGCTTCGCGGATCAGAAATGAATGCAAGCTGGTGAGGGTATTCAGATCCTCATTGAATTTTTCGTCCTTGATCATGTTTTGAGGATCACTGGGCGGATCGGCGTCGGCGAACATGAGCGTCGCCATGTCCTTGATCTTCCCGGTTGCTTGCTTGAAATCCGAACGAAAACCTGTCGACTCGTTTGTTGCAGGCGCGTCTGTCAACTCACCGGTCTCTTGTCCGGCAATGTTTTTCTCGGTCGAAGGTTGATGCCCCTGCCTGGGTTGACCGCTCAGGCGGGTGTCCAGTTTGGTTTTGTCCGCCGCCTTGCTGTCGGCAGCGTCCTTGATGTCCCCAGCCATGTTGTTTCCCTAAACAAGGATTACGTTGGGGAATTCTATCAATAATCGTTTTTTTAGCAAATACAACCAAGCGAGCTCGCAGGAGTTGCGCGGCGAACAATCTCAAATGTCAGCAATAGCGGTTGTCTGCGGAAGGCACGAATTCAGCCTGAATGACAAACAGTTATTCGGAATGCCAGGAGTCCAGAACTGTCAATACCTCCTGGCCAGTTGCCTGGGGCGATAACGCGTAATAGTCGGTTTCGAGCTTGAGAGCCTCGGCCAGCAGACTGTTGTAGTCGGCCTGCGAGACCTCCTGTGTGCCGAACCTGGTCAGATGATCGGTCACAAACTGGGTGTCCAGCAGGGAGTAACCGCCGACGATCAGTCGGGCGACGAGATGTGCAAGACACACCTTTGACGCATCGGTCCGGAAGGTAAACATGCTTTCGCCGAAGAAGGCACCGTTCAAGCTGACACCGTAAAGTCCACCCACAAGTTCGCCGTGCTGCCAGGCTTCGACCGTGTGGCAATGCCCCATCTCGAACAGCTCTCCGTAGAGCCGTCGGATTTCCCGGTTTATCCAGGTTTTCTGACGACCCGGCATCGGTTCCGCACAACCGTCAATAATGCCCTGGAAATCGGTGCTGACCCGAATTTCGAAGACATCATTTCGTATCGTGCGTCTCAATCGCCGTGGCATATGAAAATCGGCAAACGGCAGAATTCCGCGGTGCTCAGGCTCCAGCCAGAACAAGCCCGGATCATCTGCGGATTCAGCCATGGGGAACAGGCCGCAGGCATAGGCTTTGAGAAGCACCTGCGGTGTTATTTCCATTACAATATCGTCTTTGTAACCAGCCATGAGGCCTCGCTTTCCGGGTGGAAGGGACTGTCCCCTTCGCCAGAACCCGGTCAGTTCGACTTGTCAGCCAGGTATTTTTCCAGCCAGTGGATGTCGTACTGACCGTTCGCTATATCCTGATTGTCCACCAAATCGCGGAAAAGCGGAATAGTCGACTTGATTTCGTCAACCACAAATTCGTCAAGACATCGGCGCAAGCGCATCATGCATTCCACACGATTGCGGCCATGAACGATCAGCTTGCCGATCAGACTGTCATAATAGGGCGGAATCTTGTAGCCCTGATAGACGCCTGAATCGACCCGCACACCAAGACCTCCTGGCGGATGATAGTAGGTTATCGTTCCAGGTGATGGAGCGAAAGTCACGGGATCTTCCGCGTTGATGCGGCATTCGATAGCATGGCCGTCGAATTTAATGTCTTCCTGGGTCATGTCCAGATCACCGCCTGCGGCGATGCGGATCTGCTCGTTGACGAGATCGATGCCAGTGATCATTTCGGTGACCGGATGCTCGACCTGAAGACGGGTGTTCATTTCAATGAAGTAGAATTCGCCGTTTTCGTAAAGAAACTCGACGGTACCGACGCCCCGATATTTCAGCTCGCGCATCGCATCGGCGACAATCTGACCTATCTTGTGACGCTGTTCGGCGTTGAGACTGGGCGAGGGGGCTTCTTCAAGGACTTTCTGGTGGCGGCGCTGCAAGGAGCAATCACGTTCGCCGAGATGGACGGCATTTCCCTTGCCGTCACCCAGAACCTGGATTTCGATGTGGCGGGGTTTGCCGAGGTACTTTTCCATGTAAAGAGCATCGTCGCCGAATGATGCCTTGGCTTCAGAGCGGGCGGTGGATAGCGCGGTATCCAGTTCAGCCTCGCTCTTGGCGACCTTCATGCCGCGTCCGCCGCCACCGGCCGCAGCCTTCACAAGCACCGGATAACCGATTTGTCTGGCAATCGCATGCGCATCGTCGTCGGCAGTGACTTCGCCGTCAGATCCCGGAACCACCGGGATGCCGAGATCCCTGGCAGTCTGCTTGGCCTGGATCTTGTCTCCCATGACGCGAATATGTTCAGCGGTCGGGCCAATGAACTCGATATTGTGTGCTTCCAGTATTTCCGCAAAGCGGGCATTTTCGGACAAAAAGCCATAGCCCGGATGGACGGCGTCGGCACCGGTTATCTCACACGCGGCGAGCAGTTGCGGAATGTTGAGATAACTGTCGCGGGCAGCGGGTGGTCCGATACAAACGCTTTCATCTGCCAAGCGCACATGCATGGCATCGGCGTCCGCCGTCGAATGTACGGCAACCGTGGGAATGCCGAGCTCTTTACACGCGCGCAGAATGCGCAGAGCGATTTCACCCCGATTGGCGATAAGTATTTTGGAGAACATGGCCCTGGCGGCTCCTTATTCGACGACTATGAGCGGTTCGCCGAATTCCACCGGCTGGGCATCGTCGACAAGGATCTGTTTGACAGTGCCGGTTTTGGTGGAAGGAATATTGTTCATGGTTTTCATGGCTTCAATGATCAAAATCGTCTGGCCCTCGGTGACCTGGTCACCAACCTGAATGAAAGCTGCAGTGCCAGGTTCAGGCGAAAGATAAGCAGTGCCAACCATAGGCGAAGTGACGGTCAGTCCCGACTGTGTCGGCTTTTCCGCGACGGGTTCCACCGGCGTTGCCACAGGTGCGGAATCGACAGGGGCCGCCGAAGCGATGGCTGCCGACGCGGGAACGTTGACCGGTGCATTTATCGATACCTGGCGGGCAACACGGATGCGTGTATCGCCCTGTTCCAGTTCGATTTCGGAAAGGTTCGTTTCGTCAAGCAGAACTGCGAGATCCCGGATCAGGGCCGTGTCGAACTTCTTGTTATCATTACGCATCATATCGTTTGGCTCTCGTACTCGCTCCACAAAAAGCGGGGAAATCTGATTGACTGATACCGGATGCCCCTCTTCGGCGACGTCCTTCCGGCAGTTTCCGGGTTTTACGAGGCATTCTCCAAGCAAAATCCGGTTCAATCCGCACTTTTTGTTCCGCCAAAATGTGGCGGTAACAGATCATTGGCCCGCATTCGGCCGAATGCGGGCCAAGCTTCTTATAGGGATTCAATTGTGTCAGGAAAACCCCTGATTTCCCATTGATAACGCCGGGATGCGGTTTCCAACAGCCTTGCGTGTTTGTTGCTCAGCAGGTTGCCTCGCCGCAATTCTTCAAGGCACTCAGTTTGGCGGTCAGCTGGTCGTATCCAACTGCGCCCATCACGACTTCGTTTCCAACGACGTAGGATGGTGTTCCTGTCAGTCCGAGACGGTTTGCCAACGCGTAGACTTCCTCGATGGTCTGGCCCGCCTCATCGGTTGCCATGGCAGCCTGGAGATCGGCCTCGGAAACACCTGCTCCTGTCGCAGCAGCCATCGCGCTCGACAGGTTGGCCTGGCCTCGGCTCAGAAGCAGAGCTTCGTGAAAATCACCGTATTTTTCCGGCGCGACCGAGTTTACGGCGACCGCCACCTGTGCGGCTTCGATCGAGCCCTGACCAAGCACCGGAAATTCCTTCAGGACGACTTTGAGATCAGGATTTTCATCAATCAGCCTGACCATGTCGCCATAGGCGCGCTTGCAGTAGCCACAGTTGTAGTCGAAAAATTCCACGATTGTGACAGACCCTTCCGGATTCCCGAGGACCACCTGACGGGTGGAATTGAAAAGGACGTCGGCACTATCGCTGAGCACCTGCAGACGGGCGGCTTCTTCAGCTTCCTGTTCGCGGCGCTGAAGCTCGTTGAGAGCCTCGGCTATGATCTCCGGGTTTTCGAGCAGGTAGTCACGCACGATCTTTTCAACGTCGCCGCGATTGAGGTCCTGCGCCGCCACGGTTCCCGCCATCAGGGACAGGATCAGTGCCGCTGCAGAAAGTATACGCAGAACCACTGGGGGACACAGTCGCTGCGAAAGTGTGAAAAGTTGGGCCATTGAAAACTCCTTTGGTGGTCGGAATGTCCAGTCTCCACCACCATGCGTGATTTTCGGTATCACCGGCGATTCGGCAGATCCGGTGGTTTGTACGCTACAATGTCGTCTGCTTGAACCCATGCCGGCGATCCACGCTTCAAACTTTTTTGAGCACGCGCCGCATAGCGTTTCGCTGCGTCGAAGTCGCCGCGCACCATCAAACCTTTCGCCGTTGCCAGATCTGCGTCGGCTCGCTCGCCTTGCCGGCCATGGGCTATGGCAAGCTGGCCATAGGCAACGCCGGAATTTGAATCCCGTTGAATGGCTTTTTTCAGCACGCGTTCTGCTTCCGGCAGATAGGCCGGGTTGTTTGCGCCAACCAGAGCATAACCGAGCCAAACGAGGAACTGCGGTTCGTTCGGTTTGAAAGACAAGGCCTTGCGGAACGGCGCGATCGCCCGCTTGGGGTCTCCGCCTTCCAGCAGCGCCTGACCCTTCAGTTCGTAATAGTACGGGTTGTTGGGTTGCGTCCGGATCAGGGCATCGATTTCCTTCACGGCACCTTTGCCGCGGCTTTTCATTGCCGCAATTGCCCTCGCGTATTGTGCAGCAGGGCTCTTGTCACTTCGAGGGAAGGCGCGCAATGTCGCCGAAGGATGACTGGAAAAGGCAAAAAGCTTGGCGCGCACCTGATCGTGCCGGTATTGGAGTACATAGTCTTCCGGTTGATTGAAGTACTTGGATTTCTGCGCCTGGTTCAAAAGACCGTTGTACCGTTCCTGGGCCATTGGATGGCTTTGTGCATAAGGGTCTGCATATTGACGGGAAAACAACTGTTGTTCGGACATGCGCTGGAAGGTCTTCAGCATGCCCCGCGGGCTTTGCCCGGTTGCATTGAGATATTTAAGAGCTGCCCGGTCAGCCGCGGCTTCTTCGCCACGCTGGTAGGAAAGCAATGATCTTTTGCCGACTGATGTTGCGCCCAAAGCAGCAGCAGCGCCGCCGGACGCGGCCTGACCTGAACCCGAAGCAGCGCCCGCTGCGGCTGCGCCTGCACCCAACAGCATGCCGATAACCGCTATGATCTGGGCATTTGCAGCAGCGGCACGCAAGCGAACCAGATGTCGCCCGGCTATGTGACCGGTTTCGTGGGCAATGACACCGATCACTTCACTTGGCGCCTCGGCTTCCATAAGGACACCGATGTTAATGAACATGCGGCGTGAATCGGGAACGAAGGCGTTGAAGCTTTTGTTGTTGACCAGAATGATTTCCGGCTCCGAATGTGCAATGCCCGCAGCCTTGAAGATCGGTTTCGCATAGTCTTTCAACAGAGCTTCCGTCTCTGCGTCGCGAACAATGGGAATCTTGCCCCGCTGAGCATTTGCGGGAACTACGACCATCGGCAACACAATTGCCAAGGAACACACAATAGCCACTGCCTTGCGCAGGAGACGCAAAAGCGACTGCTTTGGAAAAAAGGCAGAAGCGGGCGAGGAAAGCAGCAAGTCGTAACTCCTGTCCGGTACCGGGAAGATTAAACAATTCAAGGTGAGGCGAAAGTATGGACGTGTTCGGTTCGGGTCAAGAATTCCTGCATGACATTTCGGAAAGGTTTGGTCGTCTCATGCTCATATGCCACGGCTTTGATTCCGGGATGCATTGCAAGCGTGCGGAAAATCCGCAATACGGTCAGCAGGACAGGAATAGGCCGGAAGTACAGCATCTCCATGACCAATGAAGCATTTCAACCATCTCGGCGCAGCGACGTTGCTCCCTTTATAGCCATGGATGTTCTCGCGGAAGCTGCAAAGCTTGAAGCCGGGGGACGATCGATCATCCACATGGAAGTTGGTCAACCATCCGCTCCAGCCCCCAGGCTGGCACTTGAGGCGGCACGAAAGGCACTGGAGCATGGTCGTCTCGGTTATACGGCAGCTGCGGGCATTCAGCCGCTCCGTCATGCGCTCGCCGAGCACTACAAAAGAGAATATGGGGTTGAGGTGCCTTCGGACCGTATCATGGTGACGACCGGCTCCTCTGCCGGGTTCAACCTTGCTTTTCTCGCCGCATTCGACCCTGGAGACAGAATAGCGCTGACGGCACCTGGATATCCGGCCTACCGCAATATTCTGCGATCGCTGGGTCTGGTTCCAGTTGAGATAGAAGTGAGTGAGGAAACGCGGTGGTGCCTGACGCCGGAACACATTGAGCAAGCCCTCAAGGACGGGCCCGTACGAGGGATACTGGTGGCAAGTCCGGCCAATCCAACCGGGACCATGATGAGCTCCGATGCGCTGACCGAATTGATCAGGTTTGCCGAAGCGGAAAAGATTTGGTTCATTTCAGACGAGATCTATCATGGACTTGATTATTCCGGAGACCAGAAGTCAGCCCTTGAAATTTCGGATAATGCGATAATCATTAACAGCTTTTCCAAGTACTACTGCATGACTGGCTGGCGCATAGGCTGGATGGTTTTACCAGATCAACTTGTGCGTCCGGCAGAGCGCCTTGCCCAGAACCTTTATATCTCCGCACCGGAGATGTCTCAGCTTGCGGCAACCGCAGCACTGGGCTCTGTTCAGGAACTTGAAGCAGTCAAGGCCGGGTACGTCGCCAATCGAGAGCTGTTGCTTGAAGGGCTGCCTGCCATCGGTTTCGATCAGTTACTCCCTGTTGATGGCGCCTTTTACATTTATGCGGATATCAGCCGTTTCAGTGACGACAGCCTCCGGTTTGCAAGACAAATGCTGCATGACGCAGGTGTCGCAGCAACTCCGGGCGTCGATTTCGACCCTGTGCACGGCCATAAATTCCTGCGGTTCTCATTTGCCGGCGCGCATGAAAACATGAAGGAGGCTCTTGTCCGCATGTCGAATTTCTTGTCTCGCTGAAAAATTGAATTTCGGACCAGTAGTTCACAAGGTTTTTCTCGTTCGGAACACAAAAAAGGCGGCCATCGGCCGCCCTTTTCCTATTCACCGGGCATGATCAGAAAAACGATCGGCCACGTTGCCACCAGCCGACCCGCTTCGGCTTGCCTTCCTGATCTTCATCAGAAGTTTCGCTGGTTACAACCGGCTCAGCAGGCGCTGAAGGTTTGGTATCGGCCGTCTCCTCGGTCGTTTCGTTCGGGACAGGCTGTTCGGATGTCGGGGTTTCGACAACAATGTTCTCGGGCGCGGTTTCCGCTGTAGCCGATGTTTCGACTTCAGGTGCATCAGATCCATTGTTATCGCGGGCTTCGGCGACAGCTGCCTGCACGTCCGGTACCTCATCAACCTCGGCGGAAGCTTCAACTGAAGCGTCTGTTTCTTCCGAACCAGCAGATGTTTCTGTATCCGTCTCCGGTGTTACCGAGGTCTCGGGAACTGCGGCATTGGCTTCGCCTGTTTCAGTCTCAACAGGGTCGGTTGCTTCCGTCGTTTCGGTTCCGCTTTCAGCATCGGCCGATTGCTGGACATCTCCGTCAGACATGTCGTCGCCCTGGAGTTCCGTACCTTCTCCATTGCGTCGACCACGCCGTCCGCCGCGACGGCCACGACGACGCTTGCGGCGCGGCTCATCGCCGTTGCCGTCTTCGTCTTCTGCCTGTGCGTCCTGCGACGGAGCTTCGTCGCTATCTGCATCCTCCGAACTGGATGCTACCTGACGTTCATCATTGCTTTCGTCGCCATTGTCGGACCCGCCTTTCCGGCGTTTCCGGCGTCGCTTGCGGCGGCGGTCTCCACCGTCCTCGTCTTGCGCCTGTTCTTCGACATCAGGTTGCTCGGTGTCTTCGTCGATTATTTCGACCGTGTCCGGTTGCACCATCGGTGGGGGTGCCGGAATACGGTCCCGATCAACGGGTGCACCACGTTCAAGCACATACAGCTGACCATTCACCATGTCGTCGGCATTTACTTCTATCTCAACGGCAAAACGGGTTTCCAGATCGAACAAGTTCGAGCGTTTCTGGTTGAGAATATAAAGCGCGACCTGTGTCGTTGTACGTATGATCAGGTTGTGTGTCGCACCCTTGAGAAGATTGTCTTCAATGGACCTCAAAACATGAAGTGCGACCGATTCGACGGAACGGATCATGCCGGTGCCCTGACAATGCGGGCAAGGCGTTGTCGAGCTCTCCAGAACACCTGTGCGGATACGCTGGCGCGACATTTCCAAAAGGCCAAAATGGGAAATCCGTCCAACCTGAATGCGCGCACGGTCGTTTTTCAGGCAGTCTTTCAGCTTTCGCTCAACCGAGCGGTTGTTTTTCGACTCTTCCATATCGATGAAGTCGATAACAACCAGACCTGCCAGATCCCGCAAACGAAGCTGGCGGGTAACTTCTTCAGCAGCCTCGAGGTTCGTCTGAAGCGCCGTATCCTCGATGTTATGTTCGCGCGTTGATTTGCCGGAGTTCACATCGATCGACACCAGTGCTTCCGTCTGGTTGATTACGATGTAGCCACCGGATTTCAGTGTAACCTGAGGCGAGAACATCGCATCGAGCTGTGGTTCGACGCCATTGCGGATAAACAGAGGTGAGGGATCGCGGTAGGGCTGAACATTCTTGGCATGGCTCGGCATGAGCATGCGCATGAAGTCCTTGGCTTCGCGATAGCCTTCGTCACCTGAAACCAGGACTTCGTTTATGTCCTTGTTGTAAAGGTCCCTTATGGATCTTTTGACAAGACTGCCTTCCTCGTAAACAAGACTGGGGGCACTTGATTTGAGTGTAAGCTCCCGGACATTTTCCCAAAGCCGCATCAGGTATTCGAAATCGCGTTTGATTTCTGCTTTCGTCCGGCTGGCACCTGCCGTTCGCAGGATTACACCCATGCCTTCCGGCACATCGAGTTCGGAGGCAATTTTCTTAAGGCGCTTGCGGTCTGTCGGTTGTGTGATTTTCCGCGAAATTCCGCCACCACGCGCGGTGTTCGGCATCAGCACGGAATAACGACCCGCGAGCGACAGGTAAGTGGTTAGAGCAGCACCCTTGTTCCCGCGCTCTTCCTTGACGACCTGAACGAGAATGATCTGGCGGCGCTTGATAACTTCCTGAATCTTGTACTGCTTGCGAAGCGGAACAGTACGTTCCGGAACTTCTTCCATCGCGTCTTCGGCACCAACGGATTCAACGGCGTCATCGTCGTTTTCAATCTCGTCGTCGTCGTCTCGATTGCGCCGCCTGCGACGGCTGCGTGCTCTTACAGGGGCCTCTTCGTCATCGCTCGAAGCGTCGGAGGATGCATTCTCATCGGCTTCGGAATTTGAATCGTCTGCAGTAGACGCTTCCGGGTCTTCGTCACTCGGTTGATTTTCGGAGGACCTGGCTGAAATTTCTTCTACGGCTGTTTCGTCATTATCCGAGGAAGTTTCAGTTTCTGCTCCGGCTGCATTTTCCTCGCCGTCGCTCGTGATGTCTTCAGCATTGGTCGGGTCTTCGGCAACACCGTCTTCAGCACCTGCCGATTGGGTGTTGTCCTGATCAGCTGCGCCATCGGCGTTGTCGGAGTCATCATCAGCAGCGGTTTCCACTTTTTCGCTGGCAACAGTTTCCGATGACTCGTTTTTCGCTGCCCGCGAGCGGCGGCGGCGCTTTGGCTTTTCTTCAGCTTCCTGATCTTCACCCTGGCGCTCTGCTGCTTCTGCAGCCAGCAGCGCTTCCCGGTCGGCGACCGGGATCTGATAGTAATCGGGATGGATTTCGCTGAAAGCCAGGAAACCGTGGCGGTTTCCGCCATATTCAACGAAAGCTGCCTGAAGCGAGGGTTCGACCCGTGTTACTTTCGCCAGATAAATGTTACCGCGAAGCTGTTTCCTGTTCGCCGCTTCGAAATCGAATTCTTCAACACGATTGCCACGTACGACGACGACCCGGGTCTCTTCCGGGTGGCCCGCGTCGATCAGCATTTTGTTTGCCATTATTGAACGTCTCCACGGCAGCGTTGCTGGGCGCGTTTCGTAAACGCGCATCGCCCGAAAGGAGAAGGGCTGCCGTAATTGTTTTGCTAAGATTGGGAAGGGCGTCTGCGCCCTGCGCGGTCGTCAGACCAACAAAAGCGGCCGCTGAAGCGGAGCCTTGCCTTGTGTTGGTCACTGTGTTCATCGCGCGGGTCCTTCGGGGCAACGCAGGCCCTTAAGTTAAGTCGTTGTACCTTTGCCGGAGAGCAGGGAGGGGAATGCCGCTTCGTCTGCTATCGCCGGTTCCGGAAAGATTCGTCTTTGTTTTCCGCCAGTTATCTCGCTCTGAACCTTGCCGCGAAGGCAGGTTTCAATCTGGCGAGACATCGCGGTCTCAAAGATTTGCCGCTACCTTCTCTTCAGCAACAAGGCACCTCTCGAAACGGCAGAACGGCCTCTGTTCCGTCGCTTGAAGGCCTTGGATTGCGATGACGTTGTGGATAGATACCCC